GAAAAGCAGGGCCTGGGCGCCGCTTTCTGGACATGGTCAGTGTCCACACAACCCCCCCCGTGACTGACACCCCCCAGCAGGGCCGGGAGCCAGGGCTCCTGGGTCTGTTCCTGGCTCTGGGAGAGGAGTGGGGCTGAGTGGGTTGGGGCTGGGAGCCAGGTCTCCTTGGGGTCTATTCTGGCTCTGGGTGGGTGTCACTACACAGACTCGGGCACCCGTCTTGCCCCAGGTGCTAGGGCTGAGGGCAGTTGATTTTAACGGGTCCGGTGGGTCAGACACCTGCCCTCACCCATCCCCAGGGCTCAGGGTCAACTCGGGGTGTGTGGGGCCTTTTCGCCAGTGAAAACCCCGACACGGTGACACCTGATCTGCTGCATGTTGACAGTCACCAAAGCAACACACACACACACACACACGCCTCCGAAGTGTACAGGGCCCCCTGCAACTGTGCCTTTGCCTTGGTGAGGGTGCCTCAGTGTGTGTCAGGCACCCACCCTGTATCCTCCTGGGGGGGCTCATAGAACTCGCCTGTTCTCCCCCCCAGGCTGTGCTGAGCCCAGCCCTGCTGTGTCCCCCTGTACAGGGAGAGAGGCTCAGTCTGTCCTTGTGGGACCGTGCCCTGATGGGGCTGCTCTGTGCACCAGGGTTAGGAGCTGGGGCCAGCCTGGGCCTCCCCCGTTCTCCTGAGTCCTAGCACCCCTCAGTGCTGTGTCTGGCCTTAAGTGCCAGCCCCAGTGCAGAGCCCCACCTACTGGACAGTCCACAGGCCAAGAGACTGTATCTATTTGTGTTAGTCTCTAATGCCTGTGGAGTGTCTGCACTACGCAGCACGTTATTTTGAAATAACATGCTGGCTATTTAAAAATCTGTACTCCTCCTTTCATCAGGGAATAACGCTAACTTTGAAATTGTTATTTCGAAATAGCGGTAGTGGGGACACTCAGCTGCTGCTATTTCGAAATACCTACTCCCCAGAGTCATTCAAAGTAATTACTCCCCAATGTCTCCTGGGGCTCTAAGTCAAGGGAGCCTTCCTTGGACTCATTTCAAGGCTTCCCTGCAGTGTGGACGTGCTATTTTGAAATAAATAACTCCCCAGAGCAGGCCAGGGCTAAGGTGCCATAGGACTATTAGTCATTTTTAAAAATGAAGAAGTTAGTCAAACAGAAATTAAAAGGTTCAGTGCCAAGGGTGAAATCCCTGCAAGCTACGTGGAGATTTTGCAAAGACACCATAATAGAGGCTCAACTGAATGTATACCCCAACTTAAAAAATATAAAAAGAGAACCAAAGAAGTGCCACCATGGCTAAACAACAGAATAAGAGAAGTAGGCAGAGGCAAGAGTGGAAGTTAAATTGTAGTGAGGAAAAAAGAAAGGAGCAAAAACTCTAGCAAATGAAATGTAAAAATATAATTAGGAAGGCGAAAAAATAATGTGAAGAGCGGCCAGCCAAAGACGCAAAAAGTACTAGCGAAAAACATTTTTTTAAGTACATCAGAAGCAGGAATCCTGCTAAACAGCCAGTGGGGCCCCTGGACAAGCAAGATGCTAAAGGATCACTCAAGGACAATAAGGCTACTGCAGAGATACTACGTGAATTGGTTGCATTAGTTTTCCTGGCTGAGGATATGCAGGAAATCCCCAAACCTGAGCCATTCTTTTGGGTGACAGATGTGAGGAACAATCCCAGATTGAGGTGTCATTAGCGGAGGTTTTGCAACAAATTGACAAATTACTCAGCAATAAGTCACCAGGCCCAGATGGCATTCACCCAAGAGTTCTGATGGAATTCAAATGGGAAATCGCAGAGCTACTGACTGGGGCATAACCTATCCTTGAATTAGCTTCTATCCCAAATGACTGGAAGATTGCTAATGTGACACCAGGTTTTTTTAGAAGGGTCTCGAGGTGACTTCAGTACTGGGCCAACTGGTTGAAACTATAGTAAAGAACAGCATGTGCAGACATAGGTCAGCATAATTTGTTGGGGAAGAGTCCACAGGGTTTCTGTAAAGGGAATTCATACCTCACTAATCTATTGAATTCTTTAAGGGGGTCAACAAGCACCCCCACTGAGGATCTAGATTTCCAGAAATCTAGGGTCCCTCACCAAAGGACCCTCACCAAAGGCTCCTAAGCAAAGTCAGCTGCCATGGGATTCGAGGGAAGGTCCCTCAGGGATTGATTACTGGCTCAAGATAGGAAAGAGGAAACAAAGGACAGGGTTAAATCTTCAGTTTTCAGAATGGAGAGAGGTCACTAGTGCCGTCTGCCTGGGGCTTGTTCTGGGACCAGTCCTATTCCATATATTCATAAAATGATTTGGAAAAAGGGATAAACAGTGAGGTGGCAAAATTGCAGATGATACACAAGTACTCAGGGTAGTTAAGTCCCAGGCAGACTGTGACTGGGTGACCGGGCAACAAAATGGCAAGTGAAATTTAACGCTGATAAATGTACAGTATTGCAGATTGGAAAACGTAATTCCGATGACATATAAAATGATGGGGTCTAAATTAGCTATTCCTGCTCAAGAGAGCGATCGTGCAGTCATTGTGGATAGTTCTCTGAGCAGCAGTTGAAAAAAAAAACAAACAAAATGCTGGGAATGATTAAGAAAGGGATGGACTAGGGACCATGGGCTATAATAGGAGAGAAAAAGGAGGGACAAGGCAGAACGGGGAGGCAAGATCAGAGCAGTAGCGTAGATGCCTATATACAAATGCAAGACGTATGGGTAATAAGCAGGAAGAACTGGAAGTGCTAATAAATAAATACAAGCACGACATTGTGGGTATCACAGAGTCTTGGTGGGATAATACACGATTGGAATATTGGTATAGAAGGGTCCAGCATACTCAGGAAGGACAGGCAAGGGAAAAGGGGAGGAGGTGTTTCTTTATATATTAAAAATGTACATGCTTGGACTGAATCTCTGGGTTAGGCTAAAAGGGGTAAAAAACAAAGGTGATGTCATGCGAGGGGTCTACTACAGGCCCCCTACCCAGGTGGATGAGGCTTTTTTTAAACAACTAACAAAATCATCCAAAGTGCAGGATTTGGTGGTGTTGGGGGACTTCAACTATCCAGACATATGTTGGGAAACTCACAGCAGGGCACAGACTATCCAATAAGTTCTTGGGCCTTTGGTCTGACCTGGTATGGCCGTTCTTATGTTCTTTTGTTGAGAGTAGGACCTAGTGGTGAGAGCAGGAGTCTGGGAGCCAGGTCTTGGGTCTACCCTTGCTCTGTACGTTTTGGTCACTCCCTGCTCCTCATTTCTGTCTCTCCACCTGCCTTTCCCTGCAGAGGTGCCAAAGGTGCCGGTTCGGCTGGTGGGCAGCAACGGCACACACTGCAGTGGACAGGTGGAGATTTTCCACCAGGGCCGCTGGGGCACCGTGTGTGGGCTGGGTTGGGACCTGAGAGATGCCAAGGTGCTTTGCCGGGAGCTGGGCTGCGGGAGCCCGCGGTACATCGCCCAAAGCTGCAGCAAGTTCAGTCGGAGCTCAGAGCCCATCCTGCTGGGCCTGCTGGACTGCACCGGGAACGAGACCTCGCTGACCCAATGCCAATTTCAGGACTGGGCAGAAAAGCCCTGCCCGCACCCCTGGGACACAGGAGTCACGTGCCAAGGTGAGAAAGCAGAACTGGTGCCAGGCCCTCGCCCCCTGCCTTTCCTCCTGGCCCCTATTTGTTGCCCAAGACGTAAGTACATACGTGCATGTGTGTGTGTCTTGTGGCTCTCAGT